TTAAAAAAAGTAACTACAGTAAACATATTAAATTTAAAAAAAAATTTACAGCCTCCAAAAACCTGCTGAGTGTCAACCATGAGTCATTTCTAACTTGAGGGCACACAACAACAACAGCATTGCAGTCTAGTTTTGATGGCATAGGAGATTAAGCACCGAGTTACACAGGAGGAGATTGCCCATCTTCCTTCCTCTGAGCAGCTGGTGGCTTCGAACTATGTACCTTCAGATTGGCAGAGCAACTCTTTCTTTACCCACCAGGTCAGCAGAGCTCCCCTGCCATTTTTACTGCTACAGATTTATGTTTCAACTCTTTGCCTTTGTTTCCAGGGAAGGCCGCTCAAATGCCCACATCCGAGGAGAGTACCAAAGAATCGGCGACGTCATGCTGAAGAACATTCAGGGCATGAAGGTGAGCGGGTTTGAAATCGGGGAGCAGACTCTGGAGGGAACAGAGCGCTGAGCTGTAGCCCCCTGGGGCTGAATCACTTTGCAGTTCCATGAGGTGCCCAGTGAGTGCCCACATCCTATGCAAGGGAGAGGTGGCCAGTTCGGCAGTCTTCTAACCTCTTCCAGAAAACCTGTTTCTTCTACCAAGCCCTGTGATTGAAATACTTTTAGACTTTGTAGTTTCAGGTCCTCTTGTGTTTTAACTGAAAAAGCAGGTCCTTTCTCTGGAAAACAATTTTTTTCATTAATACAGATAAAATATTATTTGACTGACCGAATGTTCATTGCCAGGTAGTTGTTTTGGTGTCTTGTAAACATGACAAAAATCATTGAATTCAGAGACACTGTGAGAATCTCAGCAGATTCTGTAACTTTAAGTCTGTGTCAAAAGCAGGTAAGTTTTTTATCATCCAGCAATATCTGTATTGATATTAACATAGTAAAAAACGTATTCCCAAAAGCTCTTACATATTAAAATAATACTTAACCACACTTTAAAACTGTGTCTCATCTCTTACATCTGAAATTTTAATTTTAACCCATGATCGTTATTTTTTTAATTAATTTCCATGAAAGTTTATAGAGACTTACGGTTTCCAGTCATTCATTGTTGCACTTTTCTCCCTACTGACCCCTCCCCCCAATTCACTCTTCTTGAAAAGAAAGAAAAACTCTTTTGTTGTTATGCAGTCTCTCCCCCCCTCCAAGTACAATCCACTATACAGCCGTCACTCTGGACTTCTGTAATAGTAAGAATACCCATTCATATGTCCCATTTAAACAGTTCTCTCCCTCATCTGTTTCAATGCAATATACATCATTCCTCCCCTCCTTTTCTGTCTGCTCTCAATCCTCATGTCAGTCCCATTTTACAGTAGTGGCCTATGCAATATTTGTCCTTTTGTGACTGAGTTATTTCACTCAGCATAATGTCCTCCAGGGTCATCCATTTTGCATAATATTTCATGAGTTCCTTGTTTTTCAATGCTGCATAGTATTCTGTTGTGTGAATATTTAATATTGTTTCTGCCATGGAGTCGATTCTGTCCAATGGGAGCCCTTCTTCTGGTATCTGAGGCATGAATCTTTGTGAGAGGAGACTGCCCAGCTTTGTTCACAGAGCAGCTGATGAGTTAAAACCAATGACCTTTCAGTTCCCAGCACACATGTAACTTGCCATGCTTCACACAACCCCTCACTCACTGTGCCACCAGGGCTGCCTTGGGATTTTTAAAGTTCATACTTTTATATGATTATTCATCCTTTATATGATGTCCATATCATGAACTCTGGTGGCCTAGTGGCAGGGAGTTGTGCTGCCAACCCAAAAGCATGTGGTTCAAATCCACCAGCTGCTCTGTGAGAGAAAGATAGCCAGTCTCCTCCTGTGCCTTTACTGAAGGCCTTTGAAAACCTCCTGGGCACTCAGCTGAGTTGGTTCCATTTGGACAGCACCTGACAACGACGGCAGTGTGCAGTGTTTTAAATAAATTTTCGTATAGCCCAGCTGGCTAGAGTTCCTCTTCAAGCTAAGGACTTCCTAAAAGAAGGCAGGTGGTCGGCATTTAGTGCACCTGCCTGTCCATCTTTCTATCCATCCATCTGTCTATCCATCTAGTAATTACTAGGAACATACTAATAAGATATTCATAAGATAAATGTTACTCTTATTGTTTGTTTAATTCCTAAGAATATGGCTAAATCATATGTGTGTGTTTTATAAATATGTCAGGAGGGTCAGTCCTTGGAATTAGACATCATGCCAGGAAAGGTGGAGGGAGAAAGAGAAGAAAACTCTCGACAAGATGAATTGCCACTCTGACTGTAGCAAGGGTTTCAAGGGATTGTGAGGTGGTACTGGATACGGCCAGGTTCAGACCTGCCCTTCCTAGGCTGCTGTCACAGTCAACGCGACAGCACCTCACAACAATGTGTATTATACATAATTAAAATGTGCACACGCACATGTGTATGTCAACACACACAGGTGTATCCCTGAGAATTCTGCATCTCCTGAGGTAAGAACAAAGAGGCTGCTGGACATGGTGGCTTAGAAAATAGGATTTAAAAAAAGAGAGAGAGAGAGAGAGAGAATCCAAACCACTCAGGAGATTTCCCATCAGTCTCTTTCTCTTAATGGAAATACCACTTTACAGACCCGGTGCTATCTCTTGTGCTCTCGGTTTGTTCAAAAAAGCCACACTCCACACCTTGGACACTACCCGAGAGAGGCTGCTGAAGTAATTGATGTTGTAGAGGCCTGTTTCCGAAAGAAGAGCATGAATTCTCCAAGATTTTACACAGCGAATGTAGTGCTTTAACTCTGTAAGCCGAGGTTGATGCACAGAGTATTACTAGAAATCTTTGCCATTTCCATACTATTTTTTAAAATAGCGTCCTTTCTCTTTTCTGTAATATTTTTGTTACTGCTAACACTTCCCGGTTGTGTGCCTCATGAACCATCAGGTCCCCTGTAACTCCTGGTGACCCCATATGTGCCAGAGAAGAACTGTCTCTGTCGGGTTTTCCGGGGACGGTTTTTGGAAGTAGACCACCAGGCTTTCCTCGGAGGCAGGATTCTTTGGGTTAACAGGCAGTGTGAACTACCCAGGTACTTCTCTCTCAGCCCATTTTAGATCTTTTCCTTTTCTCAGTGTCCCTGTTACTGAGCTCAAAGCCTGCCTAAAAGAAGGTTTCTGTCTGTCTTTGCCTCTTCCAGAAAGGCTCAGACACCACTATGGGGCTTTGGGAACAGCAGTCAAACCCTGCCAACCTCACCCTCACCCTGACCAGGTCAGGTTTGCCCTTCTCTTCTCCCCAGGAGACACCTTTGTCCATAAGGGTCTTCCCGAGCCTCTCTCCTGTCTCCTCTTGACGCCTTCTCCCTGAGGGGTCGCATTCAGTGTACATCTGACCTCTTCTCTTTTAAGCTAACATAGAAGACCTAAAAAATATACCCAGTCTCCACTTACCGCCGTCCCTCATTCAGGTCTAATGAATTAGCACTTTGCATGCAGTCCACTCCCTTGGAAGCTCTGGCATTCCAGTTTTTGTGCCCAGGAAACAAGCATTTATAGTTTGAACTTTATGTGAGCAAAATCAAGATAAATCAGTAGGTGCGCCGAGAGCCACGGGCAATGTTTTTTAGAAAAAGAATCAGTTGTTTGGCTTATATGATGATGATGATGATCATGAAGATTTTTATTGTCACTTTTCAAGAATTCTATGAGGTGTGCAGGAGAGCAACAGAAGTTTCTAGAAGCTTAAAATACCAGTTAGCTCTTTTTCTCAGAATGTGTAAGATGACTAACCATGTCTGTCTTTCCCCCTGCCCCTGCCCCACTGTACTGTGAGGGTGTCCACGTGTATATGTGCATACCATGCCAAGGACGGAAAGAGATACTGAAAGCTTTTTAAAACATTTTATTGTAAATTGAGTGAATACGTTCAGAAAAAAATTGGGTTTTCCACTCAACCATTCACATGCATCATGCTTCACAACATTGCTTACAATCCCCGGGTTGTAACAGCACGCTTCCCATTGCTTCTCTGTGCTTCCCATTTCCAGCTGTTCTTGTTCCTTGTCTTTCCTGCCTTCTGAGCTGTATGTCTGGACAAATGCTGCTCTTTTGAGCTCATACGGTTGATTGTTCTTATGATGCCCAGATCATGTTCTCCAGTACACACTGTGAACCTCCAGTCACAGAAGGTCAAAGCCCAGGATTCTAGCTCAAAGGCAGGAAAAGGGTAGGATGAAAGGATTAATGAAAATGGGAATCACAGGGAGGAAGCAGGGAGAGTGTGGTTACTTTGTGAGTGTTGTAGTTAATACTAATGTGTATGAAGCACCATTATGCTTTGTAAATTTTGGTTTAAATCACAGTAAAAAAGAAAAAAATCCAATAGGTAAAAAACGTGATAAAATTGCAAACACATACACCCTCCTAAATAAGTTCTCTTGGCACAAACTGTTGTTGTTGTTGTTGTTGTTCTATGCCTTCCAGTCACTTGCAACTCAGAACCAGCCTATGAGCGAGCACTGGTGGCCTAGTGGCAAGAAGGTGTACTGCAATCCCAGAGGTGCAAGGTTCAAATCCACCAGATGCTCTGCTGGGGAAGGAGGAACAATCTCCTTCTGTACCAGTCAGATCAGATTTGACAGTACACACATGCAAAGAAAAAATAAAGAAAAAAAAAAGAACCATCCTGTGTACAACAGCTCTGACCCCTCCTCTTATCTTTTTTTTTTTAACCCTTCTCTATCTTGAGCCAATCTTTTAGTCTCTGACACACCTACCCCCATTACCCCAGTCACTGAGTCAGTCTTTCTCATCCAGGGTCTTCCTCTCACTAGCTGTCCCTCCACCCTCCCAAACATGATGTCCCTTTCCAAGGACAGGTCCCTACCAGTGTTAATTTCCAGGTGCTGTGCATAGTTCTGTAAGGCTTTGGAGGAGGCTGGGTACGGCACCTCTTTGTATAGCACTACTTCTGTGCAGCTTCCTGTGAAGTTCTTTCCAAATGAAGAATAGACCCAGCAGGGAATACCATGTGATGGGCAGACATAAGCAGAAGTCCAGGGGGGAGGAAGGGCCCCTAACCCAGCCTGGGTATCAGGAAATGCTCCTCTGGAGCTAATCTGAGGAAGGGGGCAGGGGCAAGGCTGGCTGGGACTCCTAAGAGGAAGGCAGCAGGCAGAGAGGCTCCAGGGTGGGAGAGCCAGGCACATTCCGGGAATTTCAGGCCGTTCAGTGTGTGGTCTGTGGGTGAGGGGCAAGAGCTGGTACTGGAGAGGTGGGAAAGCGATTCCTCCCGCCAAGGTCCAGTGTGTCCTGCCAGAAACTCTGGAAGTCGTCCTGAGAGGGTGGAAAGTTCTTACAGTGTCCTTGACAACAAGGTCACGGGGTTAGTTGTATTCTAGAAGCTTCCTTTGGGGAGCCTGGTGATTTGGAGGGTAGAGAATGACAGTGCTCCTTTAATATCCTTTTATCAATGGAGATAAGGTTACAGAGAGACAAAAGAGGCAAAAGCCAGAATGACAGGCAGTGACCTCAGGGACAGAAAGGGAATGAATGGGGTCATTTGAGGAGGTAGATATGATAGGAGTTGGTGATACATATAAAAAAGAATCTGCAGTTTCCCAAGCTGTTCTGTCAGGAGGTCAGAACAGCTGGCTAATGGTGACGTCAGTCTTCAAGGTAGTAAATAAGTGAGGTGACCCCAGATGAAAAGGAGGTACTGGGCTTGACACACAGCTGCAGAAGACCTCAAAGAGGATGTGAGCAGAGATGTTACAGAGTTTTGTCTGTGCGGTGTCTAGGGCTGTCCATCTCTGATGAGAGGCCCAGGCTTGATCATCACCAGCACATTCAGATAGTGTACTCACAGGCAGGAAGTGGTGTGGACTAAGACAGAAGACAGAGCCTTCTGAAGAGACTCGCAGCTTTCCAGACTTCCTAGAACTCTTAGAAGTTAGTTACGCCTTTAATGATGCCTTATCAAACTTTTATCCCCACAGTCGCCTCTGCTGTTAACGCCAGTGGAGTATGTTTTAGTCTCAACTATTTCCTTTGAACGCTGGGATGTTCAAACAGTCATTTCATGAGTCAATCAGTGAGTGAATTAAACGGAAAATTGGCCAGGCACATCCTAATGTTAACTTCTGCCATATAACATTTACTTAATGGTCCTGATCTTTTGATCGTGACGTGACATTCAGAAGAAAGCCCTAAACCCTGCTGCTGAAGACTCCAGGGAATCAGTTTTTCCTTGTTATTGTGGGTGGTTGAGTCAGAACCGACCCACAGCTGACCCTCTAACAGATTTTCAGAGGTGGTAAATCCCCCAAAAGGAGGTTACTCTTTTTTCTGGTGTGGAACAGCTGGTGGATTCGAATCATATACCTTTGTTGTGTTTGTAGGGCAGTTCTTTACCACTTGACCCACCAAAGTTCCAGTTCATCTGTTTTTCCTTAGGAGTGGCATCCACTTCCTAAACAACATACCTCTGGAAACTCTCTGAACTTTGATTAATGTTGATAGTTGTAGAGGGGCTTCAGGACTTTTGTTCATAGGGTCACTATGAGTCATACTGGACTGGAAGGCAGTCAACAACAGCAACATTGCCAATGTGCTTTAAAAGTGCATTTATGCAACAATGAATGAAGGAAATCCAAGCTCTCTGTAAACTTTTGTTAAAATCTCAGATTTTTTTCAAGCAACAAATGCTGGCAAGGATGTGGAGAAACTGGAACTCTTATTCACTGTTGGTGGGAATGTAAGATGGTGCAACCATTGTGGAAAGCGATGTGGCGCTTTCTCAAAAAACTGCAAATAGAGATACCATTTGACCCAGCAATCCCATTACTGGGAATGTACCCCAGAGAGACCATGTCTGCCATCCAAGCAGATATATGCACACCCATGTTTATTGCAGCTTTGTTTACAATAGCAAAGAGTTGGAAGCAACCTAAGGGCCCATCAACAAATGAATGGAT